CCCTCCTCGCTGTCTCTGAGGAACTGCACACGGCTAAAGCAGTCTCCCTCTCCTCTGTCATCATCCTTTTGGACCTTGTTACGGCCGCTGATTCCCCGGTCCTATTTACTTTGTTCTGTGTGATGTAAATGAACGGTGCAGTGGCCCTGATGTCATTGGCTGCATCCTCTGGTCCGACTCGAAGACTGATTGGAGCTGACGGGCCGACATGCTCCAATCCCAGCGCACAACCAGCGCACACCTTCCGGGGGAGAACTATAAAGCCGGTCGACTGTCATCATTCGGGAGGCTCTGTTGTGTGTGTGTGTACAGATGCCTCACGCTTCTTGCTTATTTGCTGTTAACTGTGTACCTCATGTGGTAGTGGTTACTGTTATTGTGATTTATGGTGTTTAGCTTAGGTTAGTACTACGTTGAGTTGTTGTACTCACAGATAGCTGTGTTTTTCTACAGTCTCTTTTTGTTGTTCGTTTTGTTGTAAATCCTTATCTCTATTTTGAACAGGCTCATTTTATTAAAGTCCTCCTTTTGTTTGCTCTTTAGTTTAACCTGCGCCCTTTTGGCCTCTTTTGTTTGTGCCTGGCCATTTGCCTGCCTTTTTGTTTAACTTGTTGTATAAATACATCCTTGTAACTTTACCAATTCCATACTGGTGTATGTTGCATTCCTCTTCCCCTAATCGGGACGTAACAGACCACCTTCGCACTCTCCAAGAATTTGGAGTTTCAGGCTCTGCACTTTCCCTCCTCACCTCATACCTCAAAGACTGCACCTACAGGGTAACTTGTAGAGGGTCCGAGTCAGACCCTTGTCAATTAACTACAGGGGTCCCTCAGGGCTCTGTTCTTGGTCCCCTCCTCTTCTCTTTGTACACAAACTCGCTCGGATCAGTCATTAGCCTGCATGGTTTTTCATACCACTGCTACGCTGACGACACCCAATTAATTCTGTATTTTCCCTGCTCAGAGACCCAGGTCGTCACACGCATCTCTGCTTGTCTAGCTGACATCTCTCAGTGGATGTCTGATAATCACCTCAAGCTCAACCTTGACAAGACTGAACTGCTCTTCCTTCCGGGAAAAGATTGTCCCACTCTTGACCTAACAATCAACATCGGCAACTCTGTTTCCCCGACTCAGACTGCAAGGAATCTGGGTGTGACCCTAGATAACAACCTGTCCTTCACTGCAAACATCGCTGCTACAACCCGCTGCTGCAGATACACTCTTTACAACATCAGGAGTATACGTCCCCTCCTGACCCAGAAAGCGACAACTTCTGGTCCAGGCTCTCGTCATCTCACGCCTAGACTACTGCAACTCCCTCCTGGCTGGTCTACCTTCATGTGCCATCCGACCTCTGCAGCTCATCCAGAATGCAGCGGCTTGTCTGGTCTTCAACCTTCCAACATTTTCACACACCACGCCGCTCCTCCGCTCCATTCACTGGCTTCCAGTAACTGCTAGAATCCACTTTAAGACAATGGTACTTGAGTACCATGCAGTGAATGGATCGGGCCCTTCCTACATCCACGACATGGTTAAACCATACACTCCAGCACGTGCACTCCGCTCTGCATCAGCCAAACGGCTCGCTGCACCCGCACTGCGAGGGGGACCCAAGTTCCCATCAGCAAAAACGTCGGTTTGCTATCCTGGCTCCAAAATGGTGGAATGAGCTCCCCATTGACAGCAGAAAGCCTACATATCTTCTGGCGCAGTCTGAAAACTCATCTCTTTCGACTCTACTTCGAGCGATATAATTACTAACAAAGCACTTATATACTAATAAAGGACTGGCTTATCTAAAGCCAGTTGAGTAGCACTTGAAATGTTTTGGCTCTATGAAACCTGATGTACTTATATGATTCTGTTTTATTCAAGTTTGTATCTTCTTGGTCGAAAGCACTTATTGTAAGTCGCTTTGGATAAAAGCGTCAGCTAAATGCAATGTACAAGAGACATTGATTGCAAAGTCACTATTTTAGTGACTATATTATGATAATGAATACTGGGGTTGGTTATTGGGGTTTGATATTTGATCTTATCCTGGCAAGTTAGAGTTTTGTTAAGGGGCAGTGAGCGTTGGGTGGTTTGGTTAGCTGACTGAAATGAATGGGAAACGATCAACAAATGCAGAGATAGTTGTTTGATAAATATAAAACAAACAACACATTGTGAAAGCACTGTTTCTTTATTTGAATCAGCTCAGCCTTTACAACGCATGGATACATCCTTGACAGATATTTATATAGTAAGGTACCCCAAGGTGTGCTTTGAGACAATGTTTGGAGAAAGAAAAAAACATGTCAAAATAGAGATACATGGGCCAATATGATATTGTGGTTATAAAAGATAGAAGCACAGAAGCCTGTCAAGACAGTCATTTGCAATAAATAATGGAGCAAATATGAGTTGTCACACTTCAAAAACAAGCTAAGGGGAGAATTTGGATCCAATGTCTAAAACAGAAACATATTTCAAAACAAGTAAAGAGATGCATTTTACAACTAAAGTTTCACAAATGTAATTAAGCAATTTCACAAATGTTTGCACTTTTATTGTCATTACACAGTACAGGTACTATGTAATGAAATGGTTTCTCTGCATTTGACCCATCCTAGTGTTAGGAGCAGTGGGCTGCCATTAAGAACGGCACCCGGGGAGCAGTGTAGGGAACAGTGCCTTGCTCAGGGACACCTTGGTAGCACTTGGTCTTGCCTGGTGACCTTCCAGTTGCCAAGCAAAGTCCCTATGGACTTCGCCACCACCGCCCACATAAACACCCATGTCTCAAAGGAACAGTGTGAGTTACGTTCAGTGGACCCGAGTCATTTGCATTCAGTAGCCACATTACACAGATCCCTCTCATCGTCTTGGGATTCCAAAGCCAAGCAAAACAAAACAAGAAATAAGTGTAATTTTAAACACAATGTCTAAGAAGTCAATTAGTAAATAAGCAAGTGACTAGTTTTCTAACCCTAATGGAGTCTTTGGTCAAATAACTGCCAAACTGCGTGTTTGTAGCCAAGTTACTTTATTCAACTACAAGTGTTGTTTTTAGATCTTAAGTGAAAGCGTGTTGTTTTTTGTTAATTTTATTTGAGTACTGAATGACTTCAAAATCATAAAATACTGCATTAAACCACTTTTTATTCCCTGTAATGACATAAAACTGACAAATAAAAACCATTTGACAAACCTTATGGAGCATATATATTGTATGCTTCAAATTGATCAATCTGAAATAAAATATTTGTTTTGATTATCTTTTCATACTAATATTATACATCATATTATCTGACATTCCTTTGATGTTTTAAAACTAAATACATAATCTTACACCTTTTAGTTTTGAAATATTCATTATTTAACCCATTTTGTTCATCAAAGTTATTTATGGGATGATTTAGAAAGGATGATTAAAGGGGGCTTCCCACATGGAAGGAATATATATGAACCTATATATTTTTAATACATGTCACATATATGTTTAACATATATGTGACATATCTGAAATTGGACCCCTACATATATGTCTCTGAACATATATGTACATATATATCCATATATGCACACACATATATGTACATATATGGGTGCAGTGTATATGCACATATAGGTTGCACATATATGCACATATAGGTTTCACATATATGCACATATAGGTTTCACATATATGCACATATAGGTTGCACATATATGCACATATAGGTTTCACATATATGCACATATAGGTTGCACATATATGCACATATAGGTTTCACATATATGCACATATAGGTTGGACATATATGCACATATAGGTTGCACATATAGGTTTCACATATATGCACATATATGTAAAACATATATGTGCATATATGTGAAACATATATGTGCATATAAGTTTCACATATATGCGCATATAAGTTTAGCCTATATGTGCATATATGCTTATTTACACCTATGTTCAAGGTTTATACATAGCCTACCTACATAAAAAAAATACAACACACAAAATGTATAAGTCATTAACATACATTTATTGTCAATAAATGTCAATTATTTTGTCAGCTTTTGGCGAGCCCTGAGCTCTGTCAGTTTGTTGTTGATGGCTGTACCCAGCTGGCCCTTCGTTGTGTGTGGCCACTTCTTAATTGTTGCCTCTACAGAGAAAACAAAAGGACATAATGAGATGACAGTGTAAAAATGCTCCAAGTCTTCTACAGACTTCAAGCATTCCACTCCAAAGTTTTGCCAAACCACCTGGTGTAGTGTACACGAGCTCCCCTGTGAGTTTATTGGCAGATAAAGCCCAAAGCCTTTATTCAAACAGATGACCTATTTTATTAGTGATTTGTTTCATATATCATTACTATTATTTTTGAATTATCTGAAAAGTCAGTGCATTTACCAAATCTGTCTAAGAAGCTGCTAAGTTTACAATTATTAGTTAGAATTAGGTAAAGTTTGGCTTTTCAAAATACTGTTTTTAAAAAAAAATGACATCACATGAACTTCACTAGTATACAAACAGAGATCATCAGCACAGGTTGTGTACCAGAAGAGCAATAAGATATGCATTGCAATCAAGAAAATTAATTAAAGACATGATATGGCACAAACACAGTACAAAGGGCATGGTCATTGATTAAGGGTGAAGATGCTGGTTATTTAACACTGCAGAGGAGAACAATTAGTGTCATGGGGTTATTAACGACTACATATTCTATAACACAGAGGACCACCACAGTGGAAGCACACTAGCCCAGAAAATGGGTTCTATTAGAAGAGAGCTGTGATCAGAAGTGAGCAATTGAAAATGTAGTGATCACCCTACAGTAGGTGCTAATCCGTGCAGATACCATTAATGGGTGTCCTCAGTCACTTACCTGATGCTGATCCTGATCCTACCATTGATAGCTAATAAATAGTGAAACAGGGATGGTTAAAGTAGTCAACTTGAGGCATCTCTATTAACTTTTATTTTCCTTTCTAAATTCATTCGTTTTTACTCACCAATTATGGCCGCCTTTTTTCCTGGGTCCAGGGCTTCCAGCTGCTCCCCATCACCTCACTTTGGCTTGCCACCTAAAGTAATATTTCATAATTATTATTTTTGCAAATGAAAAGTGGGTAATCCTGCTGATCTGCAGCAGCTAATGTTTACATACTAATTGCCCACACTTTAGGCTAGAGTGGTTGTCCAGGGACAAATGACACTCAAGGTTCCTTGGGGGTGTTCCAAATAGACCCATACACATTTGGTTTCCAATCATACACACGTTATGGGGGTCCTTGAAATGATAAAGTTTGAGAACCACTGGGCTAGAGTGTGGGACAATTGTAAAAAAAACATTACTCGCAACAAATTGCAGCAGCGAAAACAGAGAGTAAGAAAATAGTTCAGTTTTTCCATTCTTACGTGAATCAGTTTAGAAAGAAAAACACATGTGTAAACTGCCTTTCTTTATTAATGACAGGATTGATTTAAAGAGATTTTGAACAGTAGCTTTTTTACCGTTGAGGTTGCTCTGAAGCAGGGTTTCAAGGGGAAATGTGCAGAGGAGGAGAGTTTGCACCATTGCTGTGCCAGAGGTGGTATGGATGGATGCCTTCCACGCATCTCTTTTGCAAAAGACTGACCCCTTCACAATTTCAATCTGAAAAATACATCACATATAAATGTATTAGTAGGCCTACAACTTTCACAAATATATTTTATGGAATATCACAATTGATTATTAATTAACATTATACAAACTAACATAGATTGTATATAGTAGTAGTAAATAGTTGTCTACTGCACAAGAATGATAAAGGCACTAAATTAACAAATCACTGTCCTAAACTTGATCTAACATGGGCACGCACGGTAATGCATCAGTTTTGCAGTTACCCATCAAAAAAATAACCACTGTCCAGATAACATTTTCATGTAACCTATACCTTAAGAATATGCATCTACTTACTGTCTCTGGGGCTTCGGTTTTCTCTGGAGCTTCGGTTCTCTCTCCATGGATCTGGAAATTAAACAGTGACAAAATGTATACGGTTAACTTTTACAGTGGTAATAACTGGGAAATATGGACACAAATAACCCTATCTACGTTGTTTTATGTCAAATAGCAAAAATATCTAATCTATATGTTTTCCCGCCTCCCGCCTTGAGAGCTTATAGATACATTTTTGACTTGTTACTTACTTTGTTGTTATTTCCACCATCACCACCACCATCATCATCATCGTCATCACCAGGCTGCTTCTTCTGAGGCTCTGCAGCTGCCACAGTATTTTGAGGCTTTTTACAAGAGAAGCAAGATGAATTAAAGGGGGATGAAATTATTTTGTAGTTAGCTTTCTATGACATATGACTAATTTGTCCAAGGTTTTTGTCCATTGATTTGATTTCCATTATGATATAATACACATGTGAAAGCGGAGGTTCTTGGCCTATTGGCAATGAACAATTTGGCACTGATGAGATTAGCCCTGGACAAACACACATTTGTAGACTATTGCCTCCTACAGAGTCACACCATAAAATATGCATCCTTAGAACAAGAAAAATGTTACTCACCTGCAATGTTTTGAGGTTGCTGCACACTTGTTAGAGAAGGAAGACAGTATGTTATAATTTTTGAACAATTAAAAATACAAACAGCAGGTGAATTGCCCTAATCAGCCTAACATCATAAAAATCTCCTCCTCTGATTAAGTAACAAGTAAAATACAGTGATACAAATAAGAGGAACTTACTCTTCCAGCAAGCGAGACAATGTCCTCCTTCATTTGAGGAATATCTAGTGTGGGGTTGTACAGAAGGGAAAAAATAAAATCACACCAATTACAATCATCAGATCACCATAGCTGCAAGCAACTTGGATGCTATTTGCATCTAAGTTGTAACACGGTCCATTGACAGCACATTTACAAAACAGAAAAGTCCTATCCGATTGTATTAAACCAATATTGCAATACAATAATACTTACACTTTATTATGAGGTCTTTCAAATTCATTTTTCAGGGCCAAGTTTGCATCCCTCAACTCCTGAATTGTTGTCTGGAATTGCTGCATTTTTTTCTTCTCCCACATTGAAGTGTCTTGCTCCCTCTGCATCTCACTTGCAGCCCACACAACACACACCCACACACACACACACACACACACCAACACACACACACAACACACACACAACCACACACACCCACACACACACACACACACACACACACACACACACACAACACACACACACACACACACACACACACACACACACAACACACACACACACACACACACACACACACACCACACACACACACACACACACACACACACACACACACACACACACACACACACGTTGATTGTTTCCCTTAACAGTTACTGTTATGCAGCTAAATCTAAACTTACCTTTACAACACGCAATGGATGCAGTCAGTTACCTTTTTCTTGGAAATAGGTCTCTCCTCTTCGTCCGGATGAGCCCTCTTCTTAGCAGGACCCTTCTCCTTCTCTTCCTCCTCTTCATCACTGTCGACGTATCGCCAATTGGGCTTGGTAACCCGTTTAGTAGTGTCAGCCTCGTCATTGGTCTCCATCTCACAGAGTACTCTTTTCAGACTCTTCTCCCATTCTGGTGCAGATAAATCAACATTAACGTGACACAGTAGCAAACACTGTACTGCTATTTTCTGTTATGGTTGCTCGTGCCGAAAAGCGTAGCTGGCTCAACATATAGTCTACAGCAGGGGTCTTCAACAGGGGGTCCGGGACCCCTAGGGGGTCCCCAGAGTTACTACAGATCTGCTATTTTTGGCAGAGGTTTGGTGTAGAGGGGGGGAAAAAGACTAAATATTGATGGCTCAAGTGGTTAAATGTCTGAAAATACACATTAATGGAACATACACTGATGATAGTGCTGTCAAAGTGTTAGGATCTGTCTGTGTTGTTGTTTTGTCTTGTCTTTTTCTATCTTTGGTTTCCTGTGTTATTTTGTAAAGTGTTCACCCCCGTTTCCTGCCTGTTGCTTTTTGTCTGTTTCCCTCCCTGATTACCCGATTGTGTTCACCTGGTGCCTCTGTGTTTTCTCCTCCCTCCTCACCTGTCTCGTGTTTATGTGATTAGTCCTGGGTGTATTTAAGTTCTGGGTTTTCTGTCTCTCTTTGTCGGATTGTCTTGTGTAATGACCAGTTCATCGGTGAGTGTTCCGTTCTGTCTCTGTTTATTGTATATTTGTAGCCTTGAAATAAAGGAGTTATTTTCGTTATATCTGTATTTGGGTCCTGATTCCTGCACACCGTAACATTACAACCCGACCCAAAATATGGGCCCAGCAGATCCTTTTGAGCAGGAGCTATTGGAGTTTTCCTTTGCTTTGGATGACTGCTTGTATCGATGGTTGGGAGCATCCAGGGTTCAGCAGCGAGAGGCTGTTCTGGCAGAGGCACGCCGGATTACTATGGAGAAGCCAGGCTTGGTTAAATTCTTATCGGGCAGGATTTTGGATTTTCTCTTTCTTTGCCTCCCAACTCCCGTTTTGATACCACACGCATCGGTGTGGTCCGTCTGGCGTCAGCCCCTGCTTCTCACCCAGTGTTTGCTACAGTCCAGGAGCCATTCGCTGGTACTCGTCTGGCCTTTGGAGGTCCACGGAGCCTCCAAACGGCTCCTAAAGGAAGGAGTCGCAAGGCCAGGTTGGCAGCACGAGCCCAAAGGACCAGGGTTCCAAAACCAGTTCAGCCCCCAGCAGCCATGGTTACGGACCCAGTTCTGGCCCCAACAGCCATGGTTCCGGCTCCAGTGCCGGACCCAGCAGCCATGTTTCCGGCTCCAGAACCGGACCTTACAGCCATGATTCTGGCTTTAATTCCGGCTCCAGAGCCGGCCCATACAGCCATGTTTCCGGCTTCAGAACTGGATCATACAGCCATGTTTCCGGCTTCAGAACTGGATCATACAGCCATGTTTCCGGCTTCAGAACTGGATCATACAGCCATGTTTCCGGCTTCAGAACTGGATCATACAGCCATGTTTCCGGCTTCAGAACTGGATCATACAGCCATATTTCCGGCTTCTGAACCGGACCTTACAGCCATGTTTCCGGCTTCTGAACCGGACCTTACAGCCAGGATTCTGGCTTCAATTCCGGCCCCAGTCTCGAGTCCCCTCTCGAGTCCCCTCTCCAGTCTCCTCTCGGATCCCTTCTCGAGTCCCCTCTCGAGTCCCTTCTCGGGTCCCCTCTCTAGTCACCTCTCAAGTTCCTACCAGAGTCCCCTCTCGAGTCCCCTCTCGAGTCCCTCCTCTAGTCCCTCCTTTAGTCCCTCCTCTAGTCCCCTCTCTAGTCCCCTCTCGAGTCCCCTCTCTAGTTCCCCTCGCGAGTCCCCTCTCGAGTTCCCTTCTCTAGTTCCTTCTCTAGTCAATTCCCTAGTCCCATCTCTAGTTCCCTCTTGAGTCCCCTCTCCAGTTCCATCCTCTAGTCCCTCCTCTAGTTCCCCTCTCGAGTTTCCTCTTCTAGTCTCTCCTCTAGTCTCTCCTCTCGGTTCCCCTCTCGAGTCCCCTCTCGAGTCACGTCTCAAGTCTCTACCCAATGTCCAGGTCCGTTGGAGGTTCCGCTGGGGGTCCTGCCAACTCCATGTCCTGTCCCATTGGAGGCCCCATCGACTACTCCTCTGCCGGGGGTCCTACCAATCCATGTACTGCCCCGTTGGAGGTCCCGCCGACTACTCTACTGCCGGGGGTCCTGCCAACCCTTTGTCCTGTGCCGTTGGAGGCCCCGCCGACTACTCTCCTGCCGGGGGTCCTGCCAACCCTTTGTCCTGTCCCGTCCCGTTGGAGGCCCCGCCGACTACTCTCCTGCCGGGGGTCCTGCCAACCCTTTGTCCTGTCCCGTTGGAGGTTCCGCCGTCTACTCTCCTGCCGGGGGTCCTGCCAACCCTTTGTCCTATCCCGTTGGAGGTCCCGCCGTCTACTCTTCTGCTGGGGGTCCTGCCAACCCTTTGTCTTGTCCCGTTGGAGGCCCCGCCGACTACTCTCCTACCGGGGGTCCTGCCAACCCTTTGTCCTGTCCCGTTGGAGGCCCCGCTGACTACTCTCCTGCCGGGGGTCCTGCCAGCCCTTTGTCCTGTCTCGTTGGAGGCCCCGTCGATTACTCACCTGCCGGGGGTCCTACCAACCCCATGTCCTGTGCCGTTGGAGGTCCCGCAGACTGCTCTTCTGCCGGGGGTCCTGCCAACCCCATGTCCTGTGCCGTTGGAGGTCCCGCAGACTACTCTTCTGCCGGGGGTCCTGCCAACCCCATGTCCTGTGCCGTTGGAGGTCCCGCAGACTGCTCTTCTGCCGGAGGTCCTGCCAACTCCATGCCTTGTCCCGTTGGAGGTCCCGCAGACTGCTCTTCTGCCGGGGGTCCTGCCAACCCCATGTCCTGTCCCGTTGGGGGTCCCGCCGACTGCCCTCCTGCCGGGGGTCCTGCCAAACCTATGTCCTGTCCCATTGGGGGTCCCGCCGACTGCGCTTCTGCTAGGGGTCCTGCCAATCCTGTGTCCTGTCCTGTTGGAGATCCCGCGGACTGCGCTCCTGCCAATCCTGTGTCCTGTCCCGTTGGGGGTCCCGCCGATTGCCCTCCTGCCGAGGGTCCTGCCAACTCCTGGTCCTCTTCCGTGGGGAATCTTGCCGACACCTGTCCCACCGGCTCCGGATCCTGTCCGGTCGACACCGGCTCCTGCCCGGCCTCCGGAGCTGTCCGATCTTCGCCCTCGAGCCCGGCCCCCTGAGAGCCGCGGTCTTCGCCCTCGAGCCCGGCCCCCTGAGAGCCGCGGTCTTCGCCCTCGAGCCCGGCCCCCTGAGTGCCGCGGTCCTCGCCCTCGGGCCCGGTCCACTGACTCTTCCTGCCGTTGCCTTCGCCCTCGGGCCCGGTCCCCCGACTCTTCCTGCCGCTGCCTTCGCCCCTCCATGGCCCCCTTTTTGGACTCTGTCTTGCCCCCGGGCCGTCCGCCCGAGTCTCCCTT